TTCTCTTCTTACTTCATGAGGTACTGAACGTCTATGATATAAGTCAATAGCAACGTCATTTAAAGGAAATGCTCTTGCATGGACTTCGTCCTCGCCGCGTTGCGGCTTTATGAACTCATGAATTCTATCATAACTTATTGCACCATTATAGTCATTGAGGATGTCAGCGAGTGCTTTTTTGTTTGTTGCGTAATGTTTTGCAACATCTATATTAGCTTCTGTAAGAAGTTGTTTTATTTCCGAGTGTTCTAACTTAGACAACTTCCGATACATCTTTAGTAGGAAATAAAAAAAATATTTTTTGAAAAAATAAACTTAGATTTTTTTAAGTTATTTTTCAAAATAATTTAATATTTTTATTTTAATGAAACACATGCAAGATTGCAAGTTCTTTTCATACAATGCTCTCGCTACTGCCATCAAGAATGAGTTCAATAATGCTTCAAATGTTAATGTTATCTTTAACAAGAAGTTTGTGAAAGAATCTAAGTTTGGTCAGTATGTCAGACCATTAGCTATCGTCATTGACCGCAAACGTTATACTTCACAAGAGTTAGCAGTAGTTTTGAAACAAAAGAGTTTCTTCGTGAATGTCAAAGATACCCATTATACTGTCATAAAGAACTCTAATATTGACTTCTTCAGTATTGTTTTAGATTTATCGCAGCAGAAAGAATATAAGAAAGGTGAAACAAATGTGAAATATTATCCTTCATCTCTGAAGACAATAACGAACAAAGATGTTATACAGAAATTCTTACCAAAGGTTGAAGAAGCTTCTATTGACATTGACGAAGGAAGTGAAATGGTTGAAGAAATTGACCTGACGTCATTTAAGCAAAATATATTTTTGGTGAAGAGGTGAGATTTCACCTGTTTTTTCACCTCATTCTCTCTTCGTTAATGTTGTCGTGACTTCTTCGTTAATGTTGTCGTGACTTCATTCTTCCTCTTTGAAGTTATCGAAATATTCTGTTATTTTTTCCTTCAGTAATGGTAAGTCTTCTTTGAAGGTAAGTATTGTGCAACCTTTGATGTCATAGTGTGTTTGAGGAAGAGTATTTTTGACAATTTCCTTTATTTGCTCATTCGGTGTCATTGAAATCGGTAAGTTTTCACGATAGAACCAGTTTCTGTCAGATTTATATATTTTAGCAAGGTCGTAAAAGCTTTTGTTGTTTCTTCTGACTAAATGCAACATAACCATATCTCTGTCTTCTTCATTCTCCAACTCTTCAGTATAAATCATATACTTATAACTCTTTTCCTTTCCTTTTGGTACTGAACGCGGTATTCTTTTCTGTATGCTTTTGTCTTTGGATTCAATGACTTCATCTTTTGCTTGAAGTTTCTTTTCCATCTCTCCACGTTCTGCTTTATATAGTTCATCTAACATCATGAAAATATAACAAGCATAACGAGGTGAAGCCCACATTGCTACAGCGTTTACTAAAAGTCTATGAACATAATAACCTTTCAAACCAGGAGCCAAATTCTTGCGATTTTCGTACGGAATCTCTTCTCTCGGTTTTCCGAGGGAAGCAATCATATGAGGAAATTCTTCTAAAAGTTCTTTTGTCTGTTGGTTTTCAAACCAATGATATGCTTGCTTTGTAGACTGAAGAGCATTCATTATACTTTGCATTTGGTACATGTCATCTTTGACTGAACGAATGAGACGTAACTGTTTGTTATACTGTATGTATTCGTATTCTTCATTTATGGCTTCATGAACGATAGCAGTTGTTGTGTTCTCTAATGTTGTCATTACTGTCTTTACATACAAAATAAAAAAATAAATAAAAATAAAACTAACTTTATTTTTCTGTGTTAAAGAAATGTTAAAAATTCAGGGTTACATATGTGAAAAGAAGTCACGAACAAATGAAGGTCATAAGATTCAGCACATAATTCTGAATTGAATGGTGTGTCATACATGTCAAACCGTCAAGAATTGAAGGAGATACGAGGCTATAAAGATTTTGGATATTTTCTGACACACACCCTGAGGGAAAAGTGACAAAACACGACGATAGAAAAAGTGACAAAATGAGAGAAAGTTGTCCCCCGACCAAAATGCAATCATGTTGAAAAGTGACATTTGTAAAGTTGGACGATAGGATTTCCTGAAAAAATACAAGACTTGTTCTGAAAAAATACAAGACTTGTTCTGAAAAAATACAAGACTTGTTCTGAAAAAATACAAGACTTGTCTTGAATCAGGACAATTGTTCTCAAATTTGAGAACTTTACAAGAAAAACTGACTAAAAAGTGCAAGACTTGTTCTGAATCAGGACAAGATTTGTCTTGAAAAAATACAAGACTTGTTCTGAAAAAATACAAGACTTGTTCTGAAAAAATACAAGACTTGTTCTGAAAAAATACAAGACTTGTCTTGAATCAGGACAAAACTTTACAAAATGTAAACTTTACATAACCGTTTCTATCGTACATGATATTTAGTTGACATTGTAAACTATCTTCATGTAAAGTATGGCGGTTTGAAACCGTCGGGAACCTTCACTTTTTTGACGAACTTTCCGCAGCAATTTTTAAAATTTGTGAAAACTCAACGGTTTGACACGTGCCATATGTCATTTTACTCAGAATTTTGTGCTGAATTCAGCAAAAATAATGTTTATGTTAGCATGTTAGATCTAACACGTTTTCTAACCTCTTTTCTAACATAACTATTTACAAGCGTTTTACATGGTATATGTTGCGATGGTTCATGACTTTAAACAGTTTTGTAGCTTCTATTTCTTCTTTTAGTACATCGAATGTTTTAACAATGCCGAAGGTTTCTTTATATTTCTTCTTGACGTCAGATAGAAGGAAATCGTCAGCAGTTGGATAATTTTTGTTCAGAAATGCTAACATGTCCATTTTATCTTCTGCTGGTTTCTCTACTTCTTTCTTTAAGTCAGCATAGTCGTTTCTCATACGTTCTATCTCTTTGACGGAGTAGTTATATTTCCTCATCGCTGCCTTACATTTTGAACATTGCGGGTTCATTTTTGCGTTATACATTGAAATTTGACCTGCTAAAACAACTAAGGCGTCAATGGTTTTCTTTAACTCAAACATAGCGGGTCTTAGTTGTTCGTTCCATACTTTGCCTCTTCTATCTTTATCTCTTATTTCCCAAACACATTCAGCAACTAATGAAACAAAGTTATCGTAGGTCTTAAATTCTTCAGATTTATATATGTCAGAAACATTCTTATAAACCATGTCGCAATCTTTGTCCATAACTTTATGGTTGCAATGAAAACCAAGGAATTCATAATTTACTTTACGTATGAACTTCTTTATTTCTATTGAGTCAGTTGGTTTCACTTCTATTTCATCGAATTCATGAATAGTGAGCTTTTGTTGTTGGATTTCAGGCAATTTGGGTAAATGGTCAATAATGTCCTGCATGTCATAAAGATATTCTTCATTTTCTTCATCCTGTGCGGTACAGTCTAAATTACTTGTTAAAAGTTCTTGCTTTATCTTCTGGATTTTTGTTTCAAAAGTATATGAAGAAGGAATGAAGCTTTTCATCTCTACTAACATAGATGTTGGATTCATGACTAACGAGTTTGGTGCTGTAGTTTGAATTGTTGTTGTGCCGATTGTTGAAATCATATCTTTACATACAAGATAAAAATTTTTCTTAGAAAAAAATTAGCGTTATTTTTCTTTCATAAGGAAATGTCAAAAATTCATGATTTTCGAGAGTTTTAGACCATGTTAGAAAAGTGGTTAGAAAACGTGTTAGATCTAACATTCTAACATAAACATTATTTTTGGTGTAAATTTATGAAAACATTAATAATTCCATGACTGTTCTCGTTCATGTCTGATTTACATCCAACGAAAAAGTTTAGAAGAACTTTCTTATTCTTTCTGGCATGTTTTTATCTTTCCAGTACTCCCGCTCTAATGGTCCCAGATGTGTTGGCTTCGACTCTCTCAAGTTCTTAGATGGTATAACATCTTCAACGCCTCCTTCATATCTTACTTTATAAGTGTCATCGTTTGTGTTGTAGCCAAGTATTTCAATAACCACTCCTCGCTTTGCTTCGTCAATGGTTTCAGCAAGTTTGCCATTACTACTTTCGACTAATTTATGACGAGGGTAAAACGCTATGGAGTCGTCAGCAGCTTTTATAAGATATCCATTACCTTGCCGTAGAGTCTACGATATAATAATTTCTACTTAACCTTAAAATTTCTTTGTCAACGGTTTGTCGTCAAGAACTACACGAACTTTTTGTACCAGGAATGAGGGTAAATTGTGTTGAATTTCTGATATTTTGTGTTTGGCTTCGTTTCTTTTGTATATACTTTTCTTCTTGTTGTTGTGTCATTGAATTTGGTGTATGTCCTGTTGTAGAATGTGTTGAGGAATTATATACTTCGAGAAAATGTTTCATTGTTTCTTCGGTAAAGTCTCGCTCTTGGTTTAAATCTCTGAGAGTCCTTATGAAGCGGTTTATGATGCCGAGTATGTTATGGTTATGGTCTTCAGTAGTGTAGTGAGTTATGTTATGCTTAATGAGAAAATCTGTGATTTCATTGCTGAGGTATGCACTGTCTTGGGTCTGATGTTAAAGTACTTGGGCTATGTTCTGCTACAAACTTTTGTAAAACTCTTAACACTTCACGAGTTCCTTTATTCCTCATTGGATATGCATATGCTTTACGAGTGTTAACATTTATGAAGATGAGGAATGGTTTATGTCCTCCTTTTCTGCTTTGAATGAGAGTGTCAAATTGGTATGCGTCAGGAGTGTTGGAGTAAATTGGTAAAAAGTAGTCGTAAGGGTTTATTTTTGTTTGATGTACAACATTTTTGTCAAAGAACCTTTTCACTTCAGCTCTGTTAGTAAATCCCAACTCTTTGGCAGCTTCATTGAACTTCTTAAATGACCTCCATGGATGTTGTTCGAATACTTCTTTCAAGCTCATTTATGTAAAGTTAAAGATTTTATTCTAGGGTCAAGCGCGTTCATTGAACGCGGTACCATGCGAATATAGTCACAAATGGTGGCATATAATCTGCACCCGAGCCTGTTGGATTTGTTGTGAAAGTGTGTGAATGATTTCCTGTGGTTCCACAGAAAATACCTGCGCTTGAATCTACTGGGTCGCTTGAAATATCATATCTATGCATTCCCTGTCTATCCGAACCTGCTGCAAGATTTGTATAACCTCTTTTTGTTATTGAATGTGAATGACTACCTGTTGTGTTTGTAGTTCCTGTATGAGTGTGCGGTGGAAGGTTTGCTTCTTTAATTTTCTTCGAACCACCTGTTTGCTTTGAAGAGTTCGCACAGTATAAGAATTTATCTACAATCTGCTCCCACGTACCGAAACCCAGAACTGTTGCTGGATTTATTGAGTTCATTGACGTATAAATAGAGCCTGCAGGATATAATGTTTGAAGTATTTCAGTCTTTAATGTTTGAAGCTCTGTTTTGTCAGCCTTCTTGTCATATAAATCTTGAGCAGTGAATTTAATATTATGTTCATCCTTCATGACATAAACATCTTTACATCTAATGTTTCTCATCGTCGTTATGTCGTCATCCGATGTTAAACCTTGTGGAAAGTTAGGAGGTTTACAATATAATGCATCCCCACCAGTTTCTTCAACCGTTCCTTCAATACTTTCTATAGCAACAGTTGTAAAACTTGTATGTGTATGGTTCTTGTCAGCTTTACTGTCTAACATTGCTGGTAGTTCATGTGTTTCAAAGTTTCTGACATGACCTTCGATATTCATACATTTGTTATTTAAGGAGTTTAGTGTATCTTTTACGCTTGTACTTGGATTCTCTAAAGGTGCACTTGAACCAAGGGTATAGTTCAATATTATGTCGTCTGCTCTAACAGTAGTGAAGGATTTATGTGTATGGTTCTTGTCAGCTTTACTGTCTAATGTAGCTTGAAGTTCATTTATATCGGAGATGTTGTGTTTATGAGATTTCAAAACTTTGTTCATTGCTTCGAGTTCAACTTTGTCAGCTTTACTTTTAATAGCATCTTCAAACGTTATTTTTGACTTAACTCTCAAAGTAAATCTTGGTTCAACTAATACACTCGTTAACATTGAAAGTAGAGGCATAAATTTCACCGGTATAACCAAATGCTTCTGGTGCTTTAGCTACATCATACTGTACAGTACAGCTTATGTCATAAACCTTTAGCACGAATGTATTTATATCTTCTTTCATTAACATTTTTTGTCTCGCTTCATCACTTCGTGTTAAATATCCATGGTAGTCCGTTATAATCTGTTCGTCTGAAGTTATATAATGAAACATGGTTCTTGTGTCCGCTTTACTATTTAATGTAGCTTGAAGTTCATTTATATCGGAGATGTTGTGTTTATGTTCTTTATCTGCTTTTTCGGCTAATTTCTCTTTCTATCTCATTTATTTCAAGTTCATGCCTACCACCACCTCCCGAAGAAGTATTTTTCTTCAGCTCTTGAAGAACGTCCACTTCGCCATCTTTAGTGTCAATAATGAGACTTTGAGTTAAAACCTTTCCTGTCTTAATGGATGTTTGTAAAACTTCTTCTTCACCGTGTTCGGGGTCATGGTCGTCATCATATCTTGTGAAATCAGATATGTTGTCATACATTAACATATCTGTCTCAAAAGTTCTGCTATTTGAAACTGGAACGAAAGATATACAGAACTTTCATCATCTCCTAAAGTCAAGTCTGCTTTCTTAAGTATTTCTTGAATGTATGCAATGAGAACAGAGTACCTTGGAAAATATTCGAACAATATTTCATTAGCTGTTGGTTTTGATGGTTCTTCTGGAGTTTCTGTTGTTTCAGTTCCTTCTGTAGGTTCTGTTGGAGTTTCTGCATCTCTTGACTTCAATGCTCTTGCTCTCAAAGACCTAAATGTTAGAGCACCAGGTTTTACAAAGGACTTTATAAATGCTTTAATAGTTCCTGGTAAGTTATTGTTAGCATTAAGTAAGTTCCTTATGCTTCCATCATGTACGTCCATAGCACTATGTAAAAAATCTATACTTTTCTTGTAGTCAGCAATAGACTGACTGTGATTTTTTAAAGATTTGTCAATACCTTTAAGCCAATCTTCATGCATGTCTGATACTGAGCCAAGAATATCATTTGCTTCCTTTAGTGTATTTTGTGCTTGTCGTAAAGTATCCAATCCCGTACGTGCATTGTTTGCTATACGTCTTACAGTATCTATTTGACTCCTTGTTTCTTGCATCCAACCAGATAAAGTTTTAATAGTATCCGAACCATTTGAAATGAAGTTCAAAGCATTTTTAAACGTCATTTAAAACTTCTTCACCAAGTACCGCCCATATCTTTCCGATTTGGTATTGAAGAACTCCATATGAAGCAGCTGTTAAACCAGTATTTATAAGGTCCCATATCCATGATTTAGCAGTTTTTCCATCCTTTCCATCCTTTCCATCCAAACCGTTTTCGCCTTGAGGTCCTTGTATTCCTTGTATTCCTTGTATTCCTTGTATTCCTTGTGGTCCTTGAGGTCCGGTGTCACCCTTCTCTCCTTTCAGTTCATCTTTATGTTCGTTATAATATTCTAATGTCATAAGGTGTACATCATTACTGCTACCAGCAACGCCGAGAATTTGTTTCTCATTCATGACTAAATTCTTTAGGCATTTAATGTTGTCGTCAAATCGAAAGCTCTTTAACAATTCAATGAGAACATTTAATACTTTCACTAATGAGGCATCTACTGTAGAATTTATATATTGCACCGTTCCATCATTTATGATGGGAACTTTACTTATTGTAATGAATGGGTCATAAGTGTTAAAAGTATCGAAATCAATGACTTTTTTAGTTTTTCCATCGTCAATGACTAAATCATTGCCTTCAATGGTTAAAGTTGAGTTTTCGTTTACTAGTTCATGTGCTCTTCTTGCTTCATTTGTTTCATACGCATATGCAGCAATAGTCATGTTTTAATGAGAATAAAATGTTGTTCTATTTGCAAAGTACAGACCCAAACGAATACGGGACAGTAAAGCTTCAAACAAACTTAGGTCTACAGAATGAAGCACTTGCTTTCAGAGTTGTTGACTTCAATACTATCGCAACTTTTGTCATAACAGATGAAACAGATTTCATGGAGTTTGAAATAGATGACAAAAGAAGTTTTATAACATTTCCTAACAGAGCAGAGTATAGAATAGATAAAATTGCTGGAGTCATAGATACTCTCATAAATGAAGAAACTATTGACAACATAGATGTCGAACTCTCTTCTGAGGGAACATTGAAGTTCAGTAGCAAGAAAGAGTTTAAGATAACACGAATGAGTCATAGAGTACAACTTCTTCTGGGAGCATACCATATGACATTTCCTTTGAAAAGTGTTGACAAAACGATTGAGATGAAATCTGTTCCATACGTATGTTATGGTAATTGTTTGTACGTTGAGTCAAAAATAGCTAATGTCACAGGTATTTCAGGAGTTAATAGTAAAGGTTCAGTAGAATATAAATCCTTCTGTTATGCAGTCAATTCAATGTTCATTCCAAACGTTCCTGTCATAGCAACTCATTTAGGTAAATGGGTTCGCATTAGTCCTCATAATTTGAAAGACATGCAATTCAGACTTGTTGACTTTCAAGGAGAGCCTGTAGAACTGAAGGCACCAGTGCGAATGACTGTTGAAGTTGACTTTTTAGAAAATATTAAATGCAACAGCTTACAAGAGAACTCAGAGCTAAAAATATAAAGTATGAATGTTATGTATTAGGTCATGAACTTTGGTTGTTGCTGTTTGATGAAACAAATGAATTAGTTATGTCAGTCAAGAGAACAGAAAAAGGCGTCAAAGGCGCCGAGCGCAAAGCGCTATATTGTGTTAGTGAAAACTGCACCAAGTCAATAAGATTAGGTTTGCATTATGAAGATGAGTTCGATACTGTTGAAGAAGTTTTTGGATAGATATTACAAATTGCTAACTTGAATTTTTTTTGACTGACGGCGCAAAGCGCCAAGATGGGCTCAAAGAGCCTCCTGACTGCTTTAATTTACTAAAACATATTTCAAGCAAAGCTTATAGTAAGTAGATAGTTTTGTATACTCGTTCGAATATTTATACTTAAACTCAACTCCTGTAGTTCCTGGTGTTTCAATGATGCGGATGTTACCTATTTTCATGAATAGTGGAGTTTGACCACAGCATTCGATTTCAGGGTCGAGATAGTCAATGACACATTGTTTCCCTGTTATTCGTGAGATAACATTTTCAAGGTCCTCCTTTGTTAGAATTATTTGGTTCTTGCTTATAAGATTTGTCAAAAGCTTCTTATCGTCTTTGAGTAAAATTGTTTGGTATAACTGAAGAAGGTAATGGTCTACGTTATCTGAAGGATTTGTTTGAACATTTGTGTAAGGGTTGTCGTTGGCTTCTCTTGAAAGAATTTGGTCCAGTGGTGGATACTCTAACTTAACATCTGATGTAGCGTTAGCGTTTGAAGCTGAGTTTAAATTCACCGACTTAAGTTCTGGTTCTTTTTCTTTCAAACACTCTGAACTATAGTTCTTTATGACAATATTGTTTGTCGTTCGTGAGTCAACATTTGATGTTGGTTCAATTGGAACATTAACGGCACCAGCTAAGATGGATTTGCTTCTCATTTCATATAGAATAAAAACCTTTTATATGTATGAAATGAACAATATACTCGACAAGGGTTTGAATGTAAAGCTAACGAATGAAAATATTGTTGAATTCACTGAGACAGGAGCTGTGTATAAAGATGTAGAACTACTGAACAAAAGAGCTAAGGGAAGAAGCAGGAATATGAACAAAGGGTGGAAGCCTATAAAAATTTATGTCAATGATGGCTCAGGAGGTTCAAACATAAAGTATGCAGAAAGTTATAGAGTTTATGCTCTCAAAGGTGAAAAGCCTTCATTTAAGAACAGCTATTCTAACACATATCCTCAAAAGCTAACGGATGGGGAAGTGGATGATATGAATGACAGCAAAATATTAACAGAAATGGCGACAGAGATGCATGGAATTTGTTTACCATCAGTCAATTGAAGGTTAAACTTTAAAACAATGTTGGTCGTTCCCATGGAATATTTTTGACTTTAATGGTATTAGTCATGATATGAATCTCAAGGTATGAACGAGGAGAGATGAGAGACTTATATGCTTCCCAAATTTCTTCAAAAGGTAATGTTATACCTGACTGTTTCCAAATGAGTTCAATATCATAACGTGAGAAACCTTGAAAGATAACGAAGTCAGTTATGAGACGTTTTATGTTTAAAGCTAAAAACCTCCATGTTTGCATAAGTATTGCTACAGTTAAGTGGTAATGTCTGACTTTAGTAATGATGTTAGCTAATGGTGAGTCAGGCTTTGACACTAAACCTTTTCCGGCGAAGTCGTCACAAACGAGCAGAGTGTTTGAAGGATACTTTTTGAAGGGTATTTTGAAAGTTTTGATAGAATGTAGTTTGTCAGTCGTTTCATATCGTAAACTCCTGAGTATTGACGTAAGTGGTGTTTGTCAATAATTCTTTCCATCTCCTCAGAAGTCTTTTGCATTCCTGACTGTATAAATTCAACGATGGCATAATATTTCCTCTTACGTCGAATATAACGTTGAAGAAATTCAATGAGTTCGCTATCTGGAACTTTAACGACAGAGGCTTGAACTTTTGACATAAATGTTTTCGCTGTTGAGTCCATAGAGTCTGAAGTTGCTGATATAATGATTTGGTCATAATATGAATCTTGACCTAAACGCTCTGTTATGAGTATATGACGAATGAGGTTAAATGTCTTACCTGACCCCATCTTTCCACAATAGAAATAAACACCATTTGAACAGAACTCATAGTCCTTACTGAAAGGAAGAATAAGAGAAGAGTTAAGTTTGTCTGTAGTTTCATTCATGTCTTCATCTACGTCATGTATTAAATGCTTCATTTTATCTCCATTAAAAATGCAAGTCAGAAATATTCAGAACATAGCACCGAGTCTAACTGACAAGAGTATAAAGATATACTATGAACACGTTATGATGAAAACCAACCAAAATTCAAGAAAGTCAGTATACTTATGAATATCCAAGACACTGGGTAGAGTATGTAGGAGGTGAGAAAGCTATTGAAATAAGACAAGTTAGAAGTATTCCAGCAGGAAGGACAATATTATTGAAGAACTTTAATGTTTTGAGATATAATGATGAGACAAAGAAGCAAGATAGTTTTCCTATTGCTGTGTATGTGAACCTAGACACAGGAGATGACATGAAAGTTTTTAACACAAAGCTTCAAACGGTAGTGAGAGAACAACTGACTGCGGAAGGACATCCATTACCTTCAGAAGTTACCATAGCGTATAATTTTGAAACAAATGCAATAGATTTTAAAGTCGTCTCTGCAAAGAAGTCAGGTTTTACATTTAATGAAGCAGATGTATATTCGAATGAAAACTTCAAAGCTATTGCATGGTTAGATAATGACGATTGCTTTAAGAAAATATTTAAATTCAGTGACTCAACGATGTCAATAGATGACCTTCGTGGAATGTTACCATCGACGTTTACAGTAGAAGGTTCAGCAGGATTGCTTACAAGATTGTCAATTGGTGGTATTTGGTCTCGTGAGAACATTGTTATAAAATCCAGTATAAGTGAATTTGCTGAAGAATCTATATTATGTCTTTCAAACTATATGTATTCGCCACCGAAGCATTATAGTATAACAAACTTTGTCAGTAAGTTTAACATAAGACTTGTCGAACCTTCTTCAATGAAAGATGTTGTGCTACCTAAAGATGGAAAGGATGGACTCATTATTGAGATGATTTTAATAGCATATTAAATGAGCTTGTTCTTGAAGGTCATTCATGATGAAATAACTGTTGTAGAAGATGTTAGCAATTGTTCAGACATTTTGAAGCGTATAGATGAGATAAGAAAGAAGTTTATGAATGAGAATGTTTATGTTTCATTGACTTTCTCCAGTAAAGAGAACTTTTATGAGATAATATTGAAGAGAGATGATTTTAATATGGTGTAAATGGTAGCTTGGGCAGCTTTAGGCGCAATGGGAACAAAAGCATTAGCATTTGGAGCAAAAGCACTTGGGGCTTATGACGCAGTAAATAAAATGAGTGGAGGAAGAGTTTCGAAGACATTAGATGCAAATAAAGGAAAGATTGGAGGCTGGGTTGCAAAGAAGTTAAGATTAAATAAAATAGGGCTCATAAATAAAGCATCCAATTTGGTTGCGACTGAGTCAGAAAATGCTTTAGGAAAGGACGATGAGTTTGCAAAACATGCAAAAGACTTTAATGACCAGATGAAAGGTGAAACAATGCATTTAAATAGAGTCGATGGAACTAAAGAAAATGTTTCTTCTCCACCAGTAGTTCTTCCGTATGGTCCCTATGGAATGTATGGAAACCCTTACGAAAGACCATTTGACCCATTGACTGGTGGAAGTAACTGGTATCATTACGGACGAAGAAGAAAGACAGTTAAGCTGGAGACAGACGTGAAGAAAGCAACTAAAAAGAAACCAAGGAAGAGAGTTATAAAGTAATGAATTCACAAGGTTAGAAAACGTGTTAGAAAACGTGTTAGATCTAACATTCTAACATAAACATTATTTTTTCACCTCTGACAACGTTTATTTTTATTTTATTTTTAAGTTTATTTTTATATAAATGACAGAACAAAAGCAACTCATACAAATCAAAACATATAACAAACATACATTTAAACATTTATTCTTCCTTCCTGAGCATAACATGTTCTTTCAAATACATCCGAGACCAGTTGACTTTTCATTGACTGTGTATAAAGATAGAAATAGTTATATCATTAAACCATACGATGACGAAGGTAAGTTATGTAAATTGTACGTTAAGAAGTTAGAGAAAGTTTATGGCTTCAAGTATGACTACAATAGGGTTAACACTGATGATGAAGATATTGAGGAAAATTTATGAGAACATTAGTGAAGTCGTTAGTGAGAACGATAGTGAGAACGTTTATTTTTTACATTAGTGAGTTCGTTAGTGAAGTGAAGTGGGTGGCGGCTTTGTAAATATTTAAGGTTATGTTGAGTAAGGTGGAACGCAGTGCCGCCGTACCCAACATAACCATACTAACTACTGAGTTGTAGCTCTTTCCAGGATCAAGTGATGGTGTTGGAAGCATTGTAGGAGTCTTTGAGGGGCTTGGATGAGGTGTTGGAGTTCTTGGGATTACAGTTGGTTTCGGTGTTTGCGGAGGTGGCGGAATAACCGAGAATCCTAATGTATTAACATTTTCCAATGATGTAACAATTGTTTCTCCTGAAGTTTCACTTAAAACATCCCACCACGTGTATCCACTTGTTACTTTTGTTTCTGTGTATGTCAATGTGCTTGTTTTAGTCTTCGTGTAAGTTGCAACAGGAAGATCTACGTCATTTGTTTTAATGAAAGTCCATTGACTCGTTTCTGTTTCGAGATAAGTCCATTTTGATGTTTTTGTATTATCAGTGAATGAAATGTATGTTTTTGTTGTTGAATTAACACGCGTTGAACTAGATTGAGGAGCTGTTTCTACTTCAGTTGAGATACTTGTGATGACTTTTTCTCCTTTCGTTATATTTGTCGTTGTGTTATAATTAACCATAGTATATGTGTTTTTACTCCAATCAACTATTGTTTCTGTAAATGTTAAACTTGCAATTCCTCTTGTGAAATGAACACTTTGTGTAACTATAGTCTTCACTTCAGTATACGTATATGTTTCCCCTTCAAATGGAATCTTTGTAAAAGTTGACTTATTTGTGTAACTCACTGTGTGAATAATGTTTTCTGTTTTAGGAATCAACAAAGTTGGATTCTTTTGTATTGTTTGCACATTTGTATATGTCCAGGTAGATTTTTGTGTTTCAATCTGAGAAATAGTATAAATATCATCAGATGAGGTCGTAGAAGAAGAAGTTGTTGATGCAGAACTTGTTGTTTTTTCAATGAAAACTTTATTCTTTGTATAAGTTTTTTCATTTGTCATTGTTGTGATCCAACTTGTTGTTGTCTCTGTTTTAGTTGCGTATGTCGTGAAAGTGTCTTTTTCAATGACTTTTGTTGTAATTGTTTTTGTTTCTGTTAATGTATACGTCACAGAATTTCCCAAATTTGTGTAAACTTCTGACTGAGTGTAAGTCAAACTTGAAATCACATCTCCTGATTTTGCTTGCGTTGGCTGATAAATAATTGTGGTAGTTTTTAGATCATCTCCTGTTGTTGTGGTAACTTTGACATTTGTCTCTGAGTAACTATAAGTTTTATCATAAACACTTGTATAAACATAAGTTGTAAATTCTGTACTTGCCATTTCTTTTTCGATTGTTGCCGAATATGAATTATATTCTCCTGAAGGTCCAACAATTGTTTCTGTGTAGAAATCAGTGCTTGTGTATGTGTAAACATATGAATTATTAAACGAAGTATAAGTACTTGTATAAATTGTACTTGATGTTGTAATAATTGTATATATAGACACATTCATTTTTTGCTGTTGGTATTTGACAACATCAGTTAATGTTTCATCAAATGTTTTCGTTTCTGATTTAGTGAATGTCATCAAATCAGTGTTTTCGGAATTAACAGTTGATTTTGTTGTTGTTTCAGCACTTGGCTTCTCTTCGATTGAATAAGAATAAGAAATTGTTTTTCCTGCATTTACATAATATGTTTCGGTATCTTGTAAATTATAGATAACTGTTGAAGTTTCAGAATCAAAGTAAAGAGTTGTTTTCTGATAAGAGTTTACTTTTGTTTCCGTTTCTTTTACAATGTAAGTGTCAGTTCTCTTCAAAAACAATCCATTCAATGTTGAAGTTGGAACTTTTACAATAGTGTTTGTTAATTTTGGCTCTTGTACCATAGTATACACTTCTGTAACAGTTGATGAATAAACAGTAGTTGTAGGAATAAATGTTTGAGTGTTTCCATATGCAACAGTGGAAGTATCAACCTCTTTTTGTGACTTAGACATAAACAAGTTATTATTAATTGTTTTGATTGTAGTTGAAGTGTAGGTTTCAGTTGAAGTGTTAATTTTTGTTTCAATAACTGTTTGCAAATCTGTTTCTTTTTCTATTTTTGTAACAATTTGTGTCACTGTTTTTGTTTTCATATACGTATAATTACCTTCACTGTTAAACGTTGATTTAGAGAGATCACTTTCAGTCCAAATTTGTGTCACAGTGTTGGGATTTGTTCTATACCAAGATGTCAATTTTGGAGCAATTGTTTCTGTTTGTGTGCTTGTTAATGTGGATGTGCTAATTTCTGCTATTAAGTCATTCTTGAAAGAAGGAACGAAAATTGTTGGCAAACTCGTTAAAATCGGAAGCTTAAATTCCAATTCTTTCTTATTAAATACCAATTTTGAAACAGTTGTTGATGATTTGACAAATGTATCAACATCTGTTCCAGTAATATGAGTTATATAGCTAACAGTTGTTGATTGAGTGAAAATAGTTGTATTGACTTGTGTTACACCATTAATATAATTAGTTTCTTTGAAAGTAATCGTTTCTATTCCAAACAAAAGTTTTGTTTTTGTAAATGTATAAGTTCCGTTGTATATTTCAGAATAAATTGTTATTTGGGTCGGAACATTTTGTGCATTTATTTGGGTCGTTGTCACTGAAAATGTTTCTTGTGTTTTTGTTATTGTGTAATATTCTGATTCTGTTGGTGATAATTCCAAAATTGGATTGAATAACTTTGTTTTATATAGGGTGTCCAAAGGTGCGTTTAGCACAGCGCTCTATATGAGACTATTAAAGGAGATATATGCTGATTATAAATATATAATAAAAAATATGAATATATGTATATGATGAGTATGTTGTATTTTGGCGCCATGCCGGGATATAAAATGAATTTTGAGACAAGAGGCGGTTTCGCGGGAAATTTTGGCGGGATTTTTTTCATTTTTTTAATGAATCATAAAGAAAACATCCTCGCTCTTGCAAAAAAATGCAAAGACTGTAAAAAAATCTACGAGACATCGGTAAAATGCTTCGGTATGGATGCTCCTAGCTATTCCACTGTAACGTATCATGTTAGGATGTATCACTTCATGAACAAAAAGGCGCCCATCATAAAAATTGACAAAAAATCGCCGGATCAAAGAAAAATCAAAGCAATTCTTCAAGCGCTAGATGAAGACCCAAGAGCATCACTCAGAAGGATAGAGGAGATGACAAAGATACCACGTACAACAGTCAGTTATTATATGCACAATTATTTGAACTACAAACTAGCGTATACACGTTGGGTTCCGCACAACCTTAATTCAGTTCAAAAAAAATCTAGAGTCCAATCTTCGAAAGAGCTCCTCTCTATATTGGGTGCGTATCAATCCAAGAAGTTTCGCTTTTTAGTAACAGGGGACGAGTCTTGGTTTCAATATGCAACAGAAGCCAAAATCATGTGGATCCCGAAGGATGAAAATCCGCAAACATTCCCGAAGAAAAAAATTGACACACCAATGATTATGTTGTCGGTTTTTTGGGGCGTGAATGACATCATCGCAATTGATATTCTTCAAAAACCTAATACGATGAATGCTCAGTATCTAATTGACAATGTTCTTACTCAAATTATCAATTCTGATGAGTTTGAGAAATCCAAACAACAAAAACAAAAGTTTGCAATTCATTTTGATAATTCAAGAGTTCACAAAAGTCATAAGGTAATGAATTACTTGGTGGAAAACAATGTCAAAGTTGTTCCAAACCCAATTTATTCACCTGATATTGCACCCTCTGACTTTTATTTATTCGGCACGCTAAAAAAGAGAGCTGAAGGACGCGAATTCGCGAGTCCAGATGATCTTGAAAATTTTGTAAGAGAGCAATTTGAGCAATTTTCTCATGATGATTTAAAGCGTGTATTTCAAGCCTGGATCGATCGCTGCGAACGCGTGATTGAATCCAATGGTGATTATATTTAAATAAACTTTATATATATGTAACTTGTTTATTTCTATTCGCAGTATTCAGGTTTGTGCTAAACACACCTTTGGACACCCTATATTTTGTTTCTGTTAAAGTATTCGTTTTGGTTTCAAATTCCGTTTGAATTGGAATGTAACTAATAATTACTTGTGATTCAGAAACAAAGGAATAAGTCTGCGTAAGGGTTGTTGAAGCAGTATAAGTATAAACACCAGAAACAAATGAAGAACAAAATGTTTCTGTAGGAACATAAGCCAAAATAAACGTATCAGTGTCATATGACATGTATCCTGAAAAGTAACTTTGACCTGATGTTTTGACGACTGTTTCTGTTAAAGAAACTGTCGAAACTTCTTTATACAAATCAACAGGGGGTTTAAGTTTGGAAATGACTTCTGTGAATGGTTTTTGTATTTCACTAATTGGAACTAACGAAAACCCATTTTCTGCAACTTTTTCTATTTTTTCTATCAAAGAAACAATGAAATTACCACTAGTTATCGATGTGTAAGTGGAAACAGTTATCTTTCTTTCAATAACAGTGCTCGTGTAAGTTAAAACTGATGTATCGACCATCGTCAACTCTGGCTTATTTTTCTGTGCAATTTCATTGAAATCATTATCATTTATTGAACTAAGGTATTTGCCGATATTACTAAAGAAATCAACAACTGGGATAATTGGACCTGGAATTAATGGATTTTCTTTGACTTTATTATAAAGTTCACTGAGGAATTTATCTTTTTTATATGTCAATGTTTGTGAACTGAGGTATGTTAGGAATGTTTGAGTATTGCTGTTAGGCAATAGTTCTGTAACTGTAATGGAATATCCAGAACTTGTTTTTGTCCACTCTGATAACATTTTTGAAATTAATCCTCCCCTGACAAAGGAGTATGTTGATGCCTGCGAGTAAGTGTGGACTTCGACGTTTGTGATCGTTTCTCCTGATGTGGACTTATAGACAGGGAAAATAAGAGTTGTAGTGGTTTCATTACTGTATTGAGTTACTGAGTACGTGTATGTTTCGCTTTGTGCAAAAGTTACGGTGTTTTCATGGGTTGTTAAACAATTTGTAATCGCTTTAACCAAAATACTTGTTGGAGTTGTTCCAACAATTGTCTCAACCGATGCATATGATACAGACATGTAATTTGTGCTTATCAATGAGAATGTTGAAGAAATCGTTTCAGTTAACATCGGATTTACTGTTGGAATTGGTGTTTCTCCCTGTATTGGCTTCGAAAATGTTGCAAATGGAGTTCTTGCAGGTGATTGTGGCGGAACTGTCCCTGTAGGAGTGGTTTGAGCTGTTGAATGAGGAGTGGTGTGCGGAGTATTGAGCGGAGTTGGAGTGGCTGTTGGGGCAATAGACCTTGTTTTAGAATTTACTTCTAATTTGTCGTTCTTTGGACTCTGAATGACGTAAGATGAAGTCGTTTGGAATGGAAGTTTAGTAATTGCCGTTGCAACATAAGTATAAGCGGTCGGCGACAGAATTTGTGAGGTTGTACTATCTTGGCCCTCGTTAACTTGGCTGGCATTGTTGAAATTAATTTGCCTGATTATTGGATCTTCTCCAGAACAGCCATTTATACCACCATTGAGTGTTTCATAGACTTGTTCTGTATATCGGGTTGGATCTCCTATGTGGACCCAGTTATTTCCGTTGAAATTTACAAATCTTGTGGAATATGAGTTAAATTTAACTTCTCCTTGCATCATTATATCAAATCCTGCAACTTTTGATGAATCTACATGAAATTTCCCGTCATATCCATTAAACATTTGGCTAGAAGCGAAACAACACTCTTGCGTGATTAAATTATGCGGCTGAGCGGAAGAAATGAATGAAATTCCAGCGCAACCATGACCAATAATTCCATTTCTTAAGTTATTTTGATAATTTACAAGTTTATTCCCTTCTGTATAAGGGATAAGTTGTAAACCTGCAGAGTTCTTAAGAAAGAAGCAGTTAAAGAAGGAGGCGTTTGCATTGCAAATATCAACAGCACCTCCCTGGGTGCCCGCAACGTTCAATTTATATACATTATTTTCAAAATATGTATCTGACTCTAAAGAAATGGAAATTGCACCACCAAACTGTCCAGCTTGGTTATGTATAAACTGAGAACCAAAAATAAAAAGTGTTACATCTCCAATGTTTTCTTTTTCTTTTGATGAATCTTTACCTTGGAAATAGATAGCTCCTCCATAATGTTGAGCACTGTTGTCACTGAAATTGGATGGCTTTTCTGAGTTTATTAATATACAAGAGCGAATAGAAGCAATCGATCCACCTACTAATGCTTTGTTCGAAATAAATGTAGATTCAAAGATTGTGGTTAAGGATTCTGATAAAAATACAGCTCCACCATAATGAGTAAATCGATTTTGGGTGAGGGCAGTATTATCTATAAAAATTGCCTTTCGTATTGTTAATGAACAAGTAAAATATTGAAAGCTCTTGCTTGTCTCTGCTTGAATTACTGTGTCTTGGATTGAAGAATCGATTAATTTGTTGTCAAAAATATCAACTGAGTATAAATCCGATGGATTTTTATGGAAAGCTGGTGCTTGCTCCAGACTGAGTTGAATGTTTTTACTATAATTTGGAATTCGATCTTTTGTGGATGAGCAGAAAAAGCTAAAAAGGTTATCAGCATTGAAATGAATTTTGAAAGGATTTTCAAATTTCCAGATTAAGATAAATTATATTGATTATGCATATCATATCAATGTAAATAAATTTTGAGAATTCCCTGAAAAAAAATATGCATTAATAAATTCAAATACTTTAGTTGGATACCAATCTTGTATCATTTTTTATGAAACATTTTTCAGAAGTTTATTTTATTTTGGTCTAATGCAATTTTGCAAAATTTTGCATTTTTGATGTGTTAAAAGATAATTAATCTATACGTTGATATAAACAAATTTGTAAACTATTCAATTTCTCTCCTATGTTTTCAAATAAAGTTAAATGTTATTTACTCATATTTTTGGTTATGTGATAATTTTATTTTTCACGAAAATTTTATATGAATTGCAAATTTTTTAGAATTAATTTCCGAAGCAGGCGCAAGATAATATACATAATTTAAATTTTACTTCAAAACTATTTGAGGTCACAAATTTTTCATAAATAAATCAGATCTATGAAATTGAATGAAATTAATGGTATCTATGATTGCACTATATGCAAGCGCATCCAACTCATAGCTACAATATCATGCCTTTTTATTTCATATATCATTTTAATTGAAATTATTTATTTTCAGTCGAGATTTTTCATCTCGTATTCTTTTAAAACGAATTTAAACAATTAAGATCTAATATAAAATTTGAAATGACAATAATAATATCTAATTAATTTCATTAAGGATATTCTCTATTTCAGTGTATTTCCTCCTTTTTGCAAGATCTAATGCAGCTTGGATTTCTTCTATGTCGTCTTTGAAGAAACCAAGCTTAGCAATCTTACGAACAAAATTTGTCAATTTAAATGAAACAGCTAAGTTTAAGACAGACTTGTTGTTTCCTGTTTTGATTTTGATATCTGCCCCATGTTCAAGTAGATAAATTGCACTTTCTTCGTTTTTGTTTTTCACAGAATAAATTAAAGCAGAGATATTTGAATTATCGATTTCATTAATGTTAGCACCCTTAGATAACAAAAATGAAACAATTTCAACAGAGCTGTTTGTTGCCGCATACATAAGAGGTGTCTTTCCAAGTTCATCTTTGATATTGATGTTGCAATTTTCGTATATGCTAAGCAGTTTAACAATATCAAATTTGCTTTTCTTAATAGCATGAATAAGAGGAATTTCTTTATGTGGAGTGTTAACATCACACCCATTATCAACAAGAATTTGACATCCTTCAAGATTATTATTTCTAATACAAACAAATATTTCGCTTTCACCTTTGCTGTTGATATTGCTTGGATCGGCACCTTTAGAAAGTAACAGTTTAGCTGCTTCATATTGTTTTCCTAGTAATGCATAGCTTAGTGGTATATAACCATCATTATTCTTTAAATTGACATCACAACCATGATCAAGAAGTAATTCAATTGCTTCATTATTCCCAAGAAATGAAGCTTTGTCAATGATATTCATGCCTGACTGATCAAACAAACCAAAGTTGTATTTATTATAATCAAGTAACATCTTAAGCAAATAAAGTTTCTGCTGCTGTAAAGAGAGCATCAAAGCTGTATCTCCGTGAGAATTCTGTGAATTAATATCAGCACCATTTTCTATAAGTACCTGTATTGCATCTTTTGAATAAATTGGACTTCGAACTGCATAGTGAAGTGCAGACTGTCCAGAAAAATCTTTGATATTTACATTTGCTCCATGAGATATTAAATATCTTGATAACTCAATTTGATTCGTAAATATTGATTTAATCAAAGGATATTCATCTTTTTGAGATTTCAAATTGATATCATCACCATTCAAAATAAAGAAAATTGCAGCGCGAGTGTTGTAATAAGAAATTACATCAGACAACTCTGGTCTATGAGAAGTGAAGTTCTGTAGCATGAAATCAGCAATATCATTGAAGTGGAACTGAAGAGATGCAATGAAACCTCCAATGAATGTAGATCCTTTTTGCTGGCATAAACGAACAATCTCCAAATTTCCGCCTCGAATCGCATAATTTGCAGTCATGTCGTCAACAACATTACCATTCAACAAAAGGAATTTAAAGCAATTGATTGATCCATTTCTTGCTGCTAGGCCAATTAAAGGTGTAGCATTGATTGGAGCAGTGAAATCAAAATCAGGATTTTCAGCAGACAAATTGACCAAAAAATCGACATCATCCCAAACTAAAGCATAGTTTAGTGTTCCTTTTTTGAAGATGCCAATAAATTCTTCTTCATCGATTGGATCCATTCCAGGAGGAAGTGATATTTTCCCTCTGCTGTGAAGTATCTGAACAAGTTGGGTACTGAGAGGTTGTTGGTCGTAATGATGATAAAAACCAATAATTAGATCAGCATAAAAAGAAAGCATTTTATATCTTCTTTGGGAAATGTAGTCAATTAAGCTGACAATATATCCGTCTCGTGATGGATATTTTTGAAGAAAATTATTAATAACTTCAATTAGTTCTTCTTTTTGATCTATATTTGCAGCCCAGAGCTTATCTTCAAGATCTACTATATCTTCTAACTCAGCAGGAACAGTAATATCAGTGATTTGCTGGATTGGTCTATTTTCATCAATCAACATAAGTTTTTGTCACTTTTCACAGGACAGATTTTAATTTCATGAGATAAATATATAACACACATCTTCTGAGTCAAGTTTTTCAAAAACAGTGATAAATTCTCCCTAACGAAGGTGGTAATTTTTAGAATTTTTACAATTCAAATGTAACTGCTCTAAAATTTATTGACATTGGAAGATCATTATTCTAATATACGTATACCACATGTTATTATGCAAAATTTGGTCAAACCAGTAAATAGCATCAATCAGGTTCAATTATCTTTATTGTATGATCGAACTGATGAACATCGCATTGATTATTCATAGGTATGAAGATAAAAGACATTATTTTGATTTTCACATAGATTTTTAATTGCAGTTAATTTATTCTTTGGTTTTCGAATCTCATATCATAACATTTATTTTGTTAACAGCTTTCCTGTTCTTATTTCCTTCCGTTTAATAATATTCAAATTTGCGAAAACAATTTCTTTGAGATTTCTATTCAAATCAAATTTTATAGGCAAATTATTCTTAGATAATTATTGGTGATTAATTAGAATATCAAATCAAGCTTTCTGAATCGGTAAGAATATGAAAGATCAGAATTATCAGGAATTTCACAATTTCATTCATTTCATTTTAGTCTTTACGATTCAGAACAAAAAAATTCAGAAAGCATCAAATTTAATTTGAATTGTTTTGCAAAATATAAGATGAGAGTTTGATCGTCTTTTAATCAAGCTCCAATTTATTCCAAATATAATATTGAGAATGAATTTTCAATGCGAAAATCTGATAAAAATAAATCATTCAAATATAAAAAAGTTTCCGGCATCTTTATCAAAACGCATATTCCTTTTTAATTAATATTGATCAAATTTTTATTATTTATCAGAAACATTGATTTGAAGAAGTTGCAATGCAGCACGACCGATCTTTCAAAATCAAAAGAATATGTTTCTTCTTAATTCTCTTCTTCATCTATGGATTGGTGTCTTTCCATAGGAATTGCCCAACAATTGTTGTCGAAAATATGGCAAACGATTGGAATTGTCAAACAGCAGATTTGGTTTTATTCAGCTCTATATTCTTCTACTCTTATGGCATTATGCAAATCTTTGCAGGCCTCTTAAGTGACATTATGGAACCAGCATTTTTAATCGGAGGCTCGCAATTAATTTGTGCTGTTGGCTCAATTATATGCGGCTTAGCTACAAAACCAGCTTATGGTACTATTGGAAGATTACTTGTTGGTTTAGGCTGCGGCCCTGTTTATGTCCCAATTTGCCGCTGCATGGCAAACTGGTTTGATCTGAAATGGTATCCCACACTTTCTGGTGTCTTAATTGTCATTGGTGGTCTTGGCGGTTTACTTGCCTCTCGCCCACTACAGATGTTAACTTCAGCTTTAGGCTGGAAGAATACTTTTCATCTCTTCGGAGGAATCACAGGTGTCCTTTCCATTCTTTGCATCATCATTGTTAGAGGAAATCCTACAACTCTTGGTTATAAGCCAGTAAATCTCGAAACTTCTGATACAACTAGTGATGAAACTCTTAAGATGAAACTCGTTCAGCTGAAAGATAATATACTTGTCATTCTTAAGAAACCAGGGTACTTTCTGATTTCATTTTATTCTCTATTGGCCAACGGACCATACTACAATACAGCTGCTCTTTGGGGAAAACAGATTATCCGCGATGTTTTCAATTACTCTGCAATGGATGCTTCTAATGCTTTGATCACAAATTCTCTTGGTGTCATTTTCGCTGCTATTATACTTCCATTTACCTCTGATCACCTTCATTCTCGTAAATGGGTTCTCTTTGCCATTAGCGTTCTTGGTGGAGCAGTGCATCTTTGGGCATTTATTGCTGGTGAAAAACTCCAGAAATGGGCTGTTTATACAATTTTTGCTATCATTGGCTTCACGACTTTGCCGGCTACATCAGTGTGCTACCCACTTCTTAGAGAATACTTCCATGTTTCTGTTGCAGGCTCTGCTATTGGTTGTGCAAACTTCGTCGCTTTCATTTTCAGCGGCCTTTACCAATCTTTGTCGTCTGCTATCGTTAAGTCTTACGGAGAGAGGGCTCCTAACGTTTATACAGTTAAGGGATTTAAGCTGGGATTTTGGATGCTTGGTATGATTTATATGTTTGTAGGTGGCTTAGTTGCTGCAATCTTGAAAGATTCCGAGTTCATCTCAACTAAAAAGAGAGTTAACTTGGAATTGCAAAAGTCATTGCTTGGAGAAACAAGTGATATCCAATCTATGGATGAGATGGGAACAAAAATTATATAAATTTTTGATTTTATAAAATTAAAGTTAAGTATCTGAACATTAGAATTGCATTTTTGTGTGAAAAAGGAAATTACTATAAAATTGTAAGGCTATTTATCATTAATTTCATCGTTGAATCCAGTCATAAATAAATCAGATTTCGGAATTGAAAATAAGCCTTCTACTGTAGAAGGATAAAATATTAGAATGAAGCAACCATTAGAGGAGTTTATTTTTGAAATATTGTTTTAATTTTTAATATTCGAAAATTTGATCTAGATTTATGAATTATATAAAATATTCGATAATTATTTTTTGAACTATCAGATTGTGAAATTTTGTTAACCAAATTTGAAAGGAAGTTGAAATTTATCACTCGAAATCTTTTAATTGTTTCTATATTATACAGATTTTTAAACCCAATAATAATCTCTCCATTCAAAAAATTAAAAATCTCTCAAAATATTAAATTTAATTTTTCCCTTTTAAAAATACTATATATTACAGGATAATAGTTGATATAAAAAACGGTTAATAGATTTTGGTCCATGATTGAATCGTAACTTTTCACCTTATTTAACATCATCACCGCACTAAATATTTATATAAGATACTAATCTATAATAATTTAAAATTCGAGCACGTTTTTGGAAAAATTCAGAACATCATCAAATTTTGATTAATGATATTATTTTAACAATCACATTAGTACACTAAAAATAAATGAAAAATAAAAAATTTAACTTTGCCTTAGTTTACTTTTACTATCAAAATATTGCGCTGACTGTTCAATTTGATTTATGAATTATTTTGTATTATTACGCTTGAATTTAAATATATATCATTAATGTAATACCTTATGTAAAAAACGTAATTTATATTTGAGAACCTCAGAATTCCATTTCAAATTATGAGGAACAATATCAGCTATCAAGATATAGCCAATCATATAGATGATTACCTTAAATCAAAGACATTATTCACATCCTTTAATAATCAGGAGATCTTTCACGTATTTGACTACATGAAAGTTAATGGAGATCAAGCCCTTCAAGTATTAGAGCAATGTAAGGGATACATGAATCCAAATGAAGTATTTGAGATGCTTCGCCACTGGAAAATTAACTTTGGCTGGGATGCCAACAAGGTTGCAACAATTTCATTGTTAGTTTCTGAACTCACAGATTGTCGTTTTATTAACGACTACATCAGGTACTTTATTAAGAGAATTATGGACTTTTATGAGAGTTCAATAAAAGGAGTTAAAACAGCTCAGAGAAAAATTGACAAGAAAGATAAGGAAATTAAAGAACTTAGACATGAAAAGGCTGAGCTATTCCAGAAGAACGAATATCAGCAAGATCAGATAGAGATGTACATTCAAATCCAACATGCACACATCAATTTCTTACTTGAGCAGGCAGAGAAGATTGAAGTGGCAGATTTCCGTCTGAATAACTATAAGAAGATAGTTGAGCAGAAGAATGAAGAAATTGAGGGCCTCAAACAGTCTTTGGCTAACACTAATAGTGAATTGAAGAACATTAAAAATTTATTAAAAGCTCAAGGTAATAATCAGGACGCGGCTTCTTCAAACCATAAGATAAAGTCAAGCAAATCTCAGACTGATTTTCCAAAACAGCAAATCAGTACAATGAGATGTGTGATGGCAAACCCTACACAAGTTTACATACCAGAAACACCTAATAATCCAAATGGTTATCAAATCACCAATACAGATTTGGCTCAAGACCAAAAAGTGAATAATCTAATTAACAATCAAAAGGCGAAAGTAACCATGAAGATTACTTAATACTAATACATTCTTTTTTGTTGTTGTAAAATGTTCATTTTTTATTCTTTCCTTAATTTGATTTTGATCATTTTTATTCCTCACCGGAAATTATATAATCGTTTGAGATAATATTTAAATTTAAAGTTATATTGTCTAAAGAGGTTGTAGATTCACATGATACATTACATAAATAAGATATTAATCGAGAGAAAAAAATAATATTTTAGAAATAACAAATATTGTGAATTTATATGCTGGAAATCTATTTTTATGCCAATATTCAAGAATTGGACCTCGAATCTTATTTGCATTTAACATTTATTTTTTTTATATATATAAAAAAGTATTCATCAATAATATTTATTAGCAGGGAAGTTAGTTGGAATCAATTTCGAGGTAAAATTAAGTATATATCGGAACAATAAAAAAATGAAAATTAAGATTTCAAGTTAATACATACAATTTGGAATATTTTTATGAATGCACACAGATTAGTGAAGAACAAAAGTATAAATTGGCATCAATTCTTGAGGATCAAAACCAATTTCATCTTCATCAGGTAATTCATCAATATATTCTTCTTGAACAGTAAGACCGGATTTCTGGAATAGTTCTTTGTAGTGCATGTAAGTTCTAGCAATCGAACAATCTTCTGGATTCCAATTAGCTTCATCTTTCTGAGCTTGCTTATTTGGGTTAGCAACATTATCTTTTACAAATATGAACCCATTTGTGTTTAAGTGCTCTTTACAATTTTTCAAAAATTTAATTGCATCCTCATCAGTAAGAAACATAATTGTCCATTGGGCCCAAAAACAATCAAATACTCCATCAATCTTCCAATCTTGTGCACCACAAGTATATGTTTTAAGAATAACTTTATTTTTAAGCTTTTCTTTAGCTACATCTACAAATTTTTGAACAGGTTCTACTAAATCTATTTCTTTAAAATACTTTGATAGTATTAATTCAGACACTCTTCCAATGCCTGCTCCTATATCAGCACATTTTTGGCATCCCATTCCATGATTAAGCTGATATTTCGATACAAACTGTTCTGATTGAATTGCATCTGTTGAACTGACCTGGGGAAGCCCTCCGAGCATTCCATTGTTATTTGAATCTTGACTTTCCCAATATTTAACACCTGTTTGATACCACTTTCCTTTATACACTTCAAAAACTTGGTCTGGATTTGCCGATCCAGCAGGGATTTCTGGTGATGAATTCCAAATACCCATCAAAATTAAAAATGATCAAAAAGTTCCTATATCGCCCCTTAATTATTACATAGATAATTGAAACATAACACGTATCAGCATGATTACAATACTAATTAATTTTCAATCGTAATGTTTATCATTAATTCCTATATTAAATAGGCAAACATCACATAAAATTTAGCAAAAGCTTACACATATGTAGTTTTGATCGCTCAATTGCAGTCAACACATAATCAATTTTGCTTTAAGGGAAAATAATGAATTTTCAAGACATTATGCTATTTCTTTTCCGTACAAGAAGGTATTACAATTGGAGAAAGGAAGAAAAATACGTATTCTTTTAGCAGTTTAGTGATCGAACATCCGGCATTAGGCAAAATTCAGAAAAGCATTAAAAATCAAATTTATTTATTACAATTTTTGTAAAATGTTTAATCGGTAAAATACTTAGTTTAGATAAAGAAATAATAAAATTATTTCTTGTTATTGAGAGTAAATACTCTCTCTTTGCTCTTCTTTGCACTCATATCTATTTATCGGCCATGAGTAATTCCTGAATACAGTCTTTTCATCAATGGATGATACAATTGAAAATAAAGAAACTTGTTTGTTGTTGTTAATTTGTTTGTAACTGTCGTTGCCTTTAACATAGAGACCTCCAAATGTAGAGTTTTCCGGGATTACTATTAAATCATCGTCTGAATCCATCTCTAAAAATGAAAATGACACAAATCTAAATTCAATCATTTTTGAGATACCGAAAAATATGATGTATTAAAACCGATAAACATAGTAATATCTGTATAAAAATTTTCCAGATTAAAAAATTCAAAGGAGTTTGTCAAAAATCCTTTTAAATTTTTATTGGCATTAAATTATTATATAGTATTAATTGGGATTGGAAAAATTAGAACTGTATAACTCATTCACAATTTTGATCTAAGAATTTTTGAGAAAAAACGGTTAACTTGGCTAAAATCCCTTTAAAATTTTTTCGAGAAGTATAGGTATCTTTATACAATTACATGCTAGATTTTCGATATTTATTGTGTTCTCCAAGATTCTCAAATTCGATGAGAAAATATTTTTAAGAGAGATACGTTTTGAAGTGAAAAATATATATTGTACATACTATTCTTAGCAAAATCTTTAACAAATTCCATTTTATACATTTCTACATCCTTTCAAAAAATGTAATAGTTTTTTGACATACGTCGTTGTTTAAAATAGATTTGTTGTCTTATATATGTGATATTTTTTTCAAAAAAATTTTATCGAAATTAAATAGATACCCCCGAACATGAAAATCTATAATGTGTTCTTTACGCATAGGGTAAATTACGCTAAATATTCGAGATATGCCGGATTTAACATTTTTCTAATATTGAAGCTATGGGCTTGATATCAATTGGTTTATAAAAATAAATATGTTTCTTGAGAGTGAAGATTTTTCTCCTGAATAAATGTTTCTGCATGATAAAAATCTGCGAATTAGATTTTGCCTATATAAATAATGAAAATTAATGAAAACATAGCATTTAAACTACATTTGGTGTAATATGAATTACAAAATATTATTAAATACAGCGATCTCAGCGGTGATATAGAAACATCTCATTTCATTTCTTGAGTTTTATCTATGAAACAGTATAACTATAAATGTAATCTCTAAAAAATACAAATAAATGGTAAAAGCACTTAGTTCAAAATTGTGATAAATTTAGACTTATTTTTCGACGTATGTTAATGAATACAAATAAATTTGAATGCATCAAAGACCCTAAAAACATTAAAATTAACTCATATTCAGTTTAGATTTGGCAGTGTCACTTTTCCTAAATGTTAACACCGTATTATGGGGGTAATCCCGCATATTACGACGACGATTATGATGACGATTCCGATGATGGCGAGGCCTACTATGATTTTAGCGAAGAAGATCTTCTAAAAAGCTTCTATAACATGCCCTTTGGATTTCTTCAACAGATTTTGTTAGATTCTTATATGTCTGATGACTTTGAATCGAGGCTAGCAGATCGTAGAAGCAGGGAACCATATGATGAATATATGTATGATGAGATTTATGAGCAAAGTGATGATCTCAAGTCAAAACTTAGTGATTTAGTATCCCAGAAGGTCAAAAACTATGAAATTATCCAATGGTTTCTCGACAAGCGCCTCTATTTTTCCAATGACATGTATTCCAAAATTTCAGAAGTGACAAAAGTAGCAGACATCAACAAAGGCATCATAAAATTCAAAGAATCAGTGATCAAATGGTCCAATGACAGCAACAAAAAGGAATATGAATGGTTAGAAGCCTTAGCAAAATTTTCATTAGTTTTTGAATTGGTTCAAAGGTCACAAGAAACAGATTTGATTGCTATATATATATATTATCTCAATGGTTTAAAGTCCTTGTTGAGCATCTCCAGGACGTCTGCTCCAAAAAAGACTGCTCTATCCTCACAAGAATCCAAAAAGAAATTGAATTTGGTTTTTACACAACGATAGAAAACTCTCCTGAATTATTATGCAAGCAGAACTTGATAAATAAGATAAATGAGCTGTTAAACCAGAACAAAATCGTATCTAAGTCAATCATAGAGACATTAGAAAATATTTCTGGAACTTATCCATTTTTGACTTCACTTCATTTTCCTGAACCAGATTTGGAGTTATTTATAAAGAAATCATCGAACTATTTCCCTTTCATAGATAAAATAAGAACAATTAAAGAAAATGCTGTCAAACAAATGAAGTCTTTCGCAGATTTCGCAGAATATATAAACTCAAAAACTAAAAATTATAAAAAAGAAGATAAAACAAAATTCTTGGAAATTTGTACGTTATTGGATGAAAAAGTAACAAATGAAAAGATAAGTTTCTATGATGTTGAATGCTACATGGAGGATAGATTCGAAAAATTGCAATTCTTGAATTATATTTTGTCTAAAAATTCTCAAATTTCTGATTTTATGACAAAAGTGACAGTTGTCAGTTCTGTCAATATTCCAATCCGTCTTATATATCTCCGCATCTTGTCTTCCCTCAACGTGCTGGATTTCCCTCACAACTTCATCACAGTGATATCAAGAGGAGAGTTTCTCACAAAAGAAAATTCCCAAAAACTGACAGAAAAAATAGTTGAAAAATTTGAACAAAACGGTTTCATACAGGATTATACAATTAAATTCATGAAGCTGTTCAATTACGCAAAATCAAAGAACTACTTGCATCTCTTGAATATGTTCCTCGAAAAAGAAATAAACGGTTTGTCTGATGATAGGGTTGACGATACAAAATTATTTGATAAAATGATAAAGAGCGAAGAAGAACGTTTAAAGAAGATAGAAGAAGAGAAGAAGAAGGAAGAGATGCGCATCAAAGAAGCCGAAATTATGCATCAGAAGAAGATCGAAGAAATGAGGAAAGAATTCGAAAGAAAAGAAAAAGAAAGGCAAGAAAAAGAGAAAAGAGAAAAAGAACTCAAAGAACAGAGAAGACAAGAAATGCTGCTGCTCAAGAAACAAGAAGAAGAAAGACTCGAAAAACAAAGAAAACAGGAAATGCTATTAAAACAAGAGGAAGAAAAACGAAAGAAACTAGAATTAGAAAAACAAAAACAATTGGAAAAGGAAAGACAATTAAAAGAACAAAAACCATTGCAGCCAAAGAGTTACCCGTCTTTCGAAGAGCAAATTAAGTCACAGATAAAGCCAGTACCTGAAAAACACCAAGTACAAGAAAAGAATGATGAAAAATTGGAAATAAAACGATTAAGTTCCTCACAAATTCAAGAACCTGCTCCTGAAAACTATAAATATAAAAATGAGGCAAAACCGAAAGAAAAACTCACAATTAAAATCGATACACTCAAAGACTTAAGTCAGGAGTTCGCACAGCACGCAATTTGCTTTATTTTATGCATTCCTTATATAATGGAGAAGCCAAATCCGAAGTACGATTTGACATACAACAAACAAGAGTTATTCGATATGTTCAAGGAAGTGAATGACAAAATGGAGTTCGACGAAAAGACCGAATTCGAAGTTTATAAGATTGTGAGAGTTGAAGGAACAAAACTAAGGATCAGCAACAAGTTCAATGGAAAGTACTTCTCTTACAAATACGACGCAGACGGCTACTTACTGCAGTACAACAAAATCAAAGACAACGACCACTTTGTCTTCGAAATCGGAGAGCCTGAGCTGCTGTCATTCAAACTTCCGAAGAAGGTGCAGCACGCAGCGAATCCGGATTTCGATGAGCTCATAAGAATCGGAGAGAGAATCGTCAAGTTATACAACGAGAAACGAGCTCAGAAGAAAAAAATAACTCCTTCAACATGGAAATCATTATCCAACACAAAACAGCCTGAACAAGCCAAACAAGTTAATCAACAACAGAATGATAAGTTTGGAGTATATCGTCCAGTTAATCAGCAGCAACAAATCCAGTCAGAAATAAGTCCAAACTTCAGCGTCTACCAGCCAATAAATCCACAACAAATGGCTCAGGCGAATATGCAACAAATGCAGCAGCAGATGAACGTTCCTCAATATGGAAACTTCCAACAGGGAGATGCATTCAATTTCGGTGTTTACCAACAGATGAATTACCCGCAGCAAAACTATCAGCAGCAGATTCCAAACTACCAACAGATGAATCAGCAGCAATATGGAAACGTTCAACATGTCAATCAACAGCCAAACAACAACAAATTCGGTGTTTACTATCCTCAGCAACAACAAGAACAAACTAATGACAAATTTGGAATTTACACTCCACAAAAACAACAACAAAATGATAAATTTGGAGTATATCATCCACAACAACAAATACAACAACAACAGGTTCAACCACAGAAACAACAACAAAATGATAAGTTTGCAGTGTACCATCCACAACAAATGCAACAACAGCAACAAGAAGACAAGTTTGCTGTCTACAATCCAACGAAAGAACAGAAGCAGCTCAAGAAACATATTAAGAATGACGACAGATTTGGCATCTGGACACCAAATCAGCAGCCAAACACAGTTCCAACTCAAGGATTCCAGATGTACCAAGTTCCACAGCAAAACACAAACACATTCTACGACAAATTCGGCGTTTGGAAACCACAGAAAACTCCTCAGTTTGCTGAAGAACAGATGACTAATTTCATCAACAAGATCAAAGAAGGAGTTTCACGCGACAAAATCAGTAAATTGGCTAAACACACAGTGATTAACAACAACAACAATTTCCATCCATTTATCTGCAAATTAAACAACGAAATCAAGTCTAATTTCACACAGATCAAAGTCAAGACTCAGCCAATAAACTCCCTCCACCAGACTCCGTTTGTCTTCACAGTCAAGACAGACAACACGATCCAAAACATCCATATTGTCGTCAACAACGACGTCTACAGAGATTTCATCAGTCTCCGTCAGGAACAGAACGAGATCCTGATCGAAATAAAGTTCGACATCCTCCCGATCAGCGAGCACTTCATCGACGGCCTCATCGTCTTCGAGACACTCAGCATTCCGTTCCTATTCGACATCACGAAGATCGATCCGACAGTCTACATCAACGTGCGCGACCACCCGTTCTTCTACAACAAGCAGAGCAACAGTGTCTGCCTTGTCAGCGAATCCATTTTCAACGACACGAACATCTTCATCCGGACAATCGACGAGAAAATGAAGAGGATTCCACATTGTGTTGTTATATACGGCAGCCCTCAGCCACCGAGTGTCGAATTCGACGACGACGAGTGCGAGACAGAGCTCTCATTCAAGTACAACACTCAGTGCACGATGACGGTCTTCATAAGCAACTCACTCTACTCGAACATCAACATCCAGTACCTTGTCTACGAGCGCCTATTTGTCTTCAAGTTCTACAACGTGTTGAACCAACAGTTCGACTGCTTCGACCGCGTCCCAATCAAGAGACACCACCAGCGCATGTGTTTCTTCTGCTCATGCGTCTTTGAGGATGAGGGAGACTCTCTGACCTTCGACATCAGCCCATCAAGACACGTCTTTGTTCGCGACATCGACCGCTACGAAAACGACTTCTACTTCTTCGACGTCGATATCGACTCAGAAAAAGGCGACGACTTCTTCCTCGAGATCAGCATCAGGAGCAAGAGCCGCACAATGAAGGAGCGGACAATCCTTGTCCACCTCATCGAAGTCGACTGCGATCGCGACGACATCGTCATCAACAAGAACACTTTGATCGACTCTAAGAAGTTCATCAGAGATTCGCAGGCACAGTACAACGTCATCAGAAAGCAGATACAGCAAGGAGTGAGTGTTTTCGACGTCATCGGACTCACATCTCAGCAGATCCGCCCTGAGTCAATCGACGTCATCAGAGACAGCGAAAACAGAGAATATGACGAAGAAGATGAGTCAAACAAAGTCGCTTTCGATTTCGGCGAAGAGTCGTTTGTTGACCAGAAACTGAACGACTACCAAGTTCCAAGTTTCTCTTACATCAACAGCCAAAACGTTGTCTCTTCGATCAAGGAGACAATCAAGGTCTGCAGCGACCTTCCTTTCTTGGCTCGCGAGTACTGGAGGAACTCTTCCCATGACTCTGACGTCAACGAAGTCCTCCCTCTGAGATTCGTCAGCCTCTTCAGCGTTTGCTCACTTTTGTCGCAGACTTTGTCTAAAGTTGACTCTTCTTTCGACAGAGAGATTGATGACACAACAAAGCAGTTCCACACATCGTACTCTTTCATGAAGATGCAGACACACATTCACGAACACCACTCAACAAACTCCCCGCTCTCTTCTGTATTCAACTTACCTGAATACAAATATTTCTCTGATAAATAAACAAATAGTATTTTATTTATATATTCATGACATTGTTATATTCGCTATTTGAATGATTGATGAGTTTTTCAGCATCTCAATCTTTCCTTTGATGTATTTTGGATGAACTCCAATGTCATCTTCGCCTTTTTGTTCTTTTATTGAAATGTTCGTTACCTGGCAATATCCTGTTGATAAATTAGAGAGTTTTACATAGGGTGGAAAAAATTCACAAAAATGATTATTTGAAATTGAATTTGCACATTTTTTGCGTTTTTGAAAAATTTTGGAGTTGACTATTATTAAAAATCAAATTAATTAATAAAGAATTGCAACAGTTGCGTATGCAGAAAATATAAAAGAAAAAAAATCATTCATTTTTGAATAATTTACACGTATTGATTTTTAAATACACAAATAATGCACAGATTGAATTTAGTATAATCGTTTTTGCGCATTTTTTGCACTTTTAGGAAAACCTAAATGAGACAAATGCAAATAAAAAGGTCCCGTTGTTGAAACAATATTTGCATTTCCTGCATATGAAACTTCTTTATTATCAAAATAACTTTTAGTAACAGTTGGAGATAAGTATTCAAACAATTTATTTCCTTGTAATTCTTTTGTATTTAATTGGGAAATCGCATGTACATTTATAAACTACCGGTATACGACAATTCATTTCAGGTATTTTTGTATCAGATAACTCCGTAATATTTTCGAATTTGATTGCATCTGCTGGTGCATATTTAGATGTAGCAGACTCAGGATATGAATTCGTGTAACAATTTGATGCAGTGATATATGCAGGAGTATATTTCACAATAAACAATGTGTGCACATCTGGATTAATCAATGTACATTTATCGATGAATACACGGATAAAAGATTGGCATCCTAAAACAATATTAACTTTATTATAAATGAGAACAATGTGAAAATGTTATGGTATTATCACCTCGTATTGTTGAAATAATTGATATTGCGTAATAGTTACCAGCTGTTGTGCTATTTATCTCATTCATAAAAGAAACAAAAGTTTTGTTTAATCTATGTGGGGAGTAGAATATTGCTGCAACTCTTGATTTACCTGAGGATATGTTACAACTTCTAGAAAGGAGAATACCGTTTTTCAATGAGATTTGGGTTCCTGGATTTTCCTCTGTGTATTGACCACAATCAGAGATACATGAATCATTGAAATTATTTTGCTTTTCTGCTGTCACTTCGCAGTCAATCCTTTCAAATTGGCCATAATATTCTCCAGGGCTTTCACCTGTAACTTTTGTTGTCGTGTTTAAGGCAACTACTTTCTTTTGCAAAACATCTCCAAGGAAATAAATAGTGAAAGGCGAATAATTATCGCATTGTATTTTGTTGAAAACAGAATATTCAATCAAAAATTTTGCATGAGGACTATTGGAATTATTGCATCTAATACAAATGGCATTATTTGCCAGGTTACTAAATATAACTTCTGTAATGTAGTATCCTGCTTCGGGAACAATAGTTTGATTATTAAAAATTGAATAATCTTGATCTCCGCAAACTTCTTCCCATGATTTAGATAGCCATATGGATCTGATTTTTGATTGGAAGTTAAAATATTGCAATAACCCAACTAAAATTTGGAAGTTCAAATTATACCATATTGAATTTCAATTTTTTGCAATGAGCTTATTTTGCTTTCTAATTTTTATTAAAAAAATAGAATAGAAAAAAAATTTACAATTCTTAAAAATTGAATATGCTAAATTTCTTAAGAAAAATTACAATTTGTCTAGTAGATTCAAAACTTCGGGTCTTAATCCAATTTTCAATTCATCTTTATGCCATAGTTTACAACTATACAATTTTCAACATAAATGTTAATGTTTGCCTCTAAGTATGATAAATGAAATATTTATGTATTAAAATATATCGTTTATTATATGGCAGGAGTGGGGGGACAAAAGTGTCCGTGTCACTTTTCAATAACCCCAAATTTGCATTTTTAATTTTTCTGATTTTAACCTTAAATTGATATCTGCGTAGGGAACAATATCCCAAAACTTTCAAGTGGAGATGGGAGGCTTTGGAGTATATAACATGAATATATAACTCAAAGCCTTCCATCTCCACTATAAATGGGAGAAACTTTATCCAAATGCGAAACTATTTGGATAAAGTTTCTCCCATTTTAAGAATGAATTGAATAGTAAGGAGTGCATAGTATGAATATGTACCTCTTGCAGTGCAATACCTTCTTAAAATGGGAGAAACTTTGTCCGAATGTTAAACTATTCGGACAAAGTTTCTTCCATTTGTAGTGGAGATGGAAGGTTTTGGGATACATATTAATGTTATATACCCAAAAAAAGTCACCTTTTTTCTTTAAAAAAGTGACTTGGGCAATTATGTCACGTGCTCCTGTAGTATATTTCTTAAGTTTAATTTTTAATGAATTTTATCCCCAATTAATAGGGTAGGCATTTGACAAATGCTGATCTTGAATAATTTTCTATGTATTGACAAAGGTTGAGATAAAATTTAAAGATAAATTCCTTTCTCATAATATATTTATATAACCTAATTTATTCTTTTGAGAGGTTATTGATTTTTATTTTTTTCAAAGGTTTTTTTTTACCTATTGAAAATAAAAAAAATTGTATCATTTAAAATGAATGTTCTTTTAGCTAAGTTGCATGCAGCTGGATCATTGTGGAATCAATTCATGGATGATGAAAGTTACAATGAATACAATAATTCGTATCCTTTAGTTTCAACATCAAATTCAAATTTTTTTGTTAGCAATATAAAGATAGAAGATATTCAGAGTTCAGGTATATCAATTCAACCATCTTTATCCGCTAACCTCGTTGTTTCTAGTTCGACATTCATGAAGAGCAAGCTCACAAACTCAATGATTTTCTTCTCAAAAGGAAATTGTGCGCTTTTCAATGTGAAGATATCAGAAAATCAATTCACAAAAGAAATGGAAGGATGTTTAACACACATTGTTGTAAATCAAAAATCACAACCTTCATTTAACCTTAATTTTCTGATTGATTGTTCGATTTCTCAAAATAATTTGGAAAGATCCTCAAATGGTCTATCATCATGCTATCACATTGGTGGAAATCAATCTTTCAAATACTCAAATATAACCAATAACTATAATTCATATGAATCTGGATATGAATTGCAAAAAACATCATCATCTGAAGTAAAATTCTGTCAAATTGTGCAATGCATCAGTGCGTATGATATTGTATCGCATCAAAACGGTAGATATGCTGTAAAATTTTGTAATATATTGAAAAACGTTGTCAATTCTTCATATTCTCAGGGAGTTTTTGTTTCTCAATTCAATGAAGTAGAAACCGAATTCTATTCTTGTTCATTTATCGAAAATGAAGGTCCCTATCTTTTTTACATTTTCAATTCTGGAAGAATTGAGGTGATAGGATGTACATTGTATGGACTATCATCTGTGAACTCTGATAAACTGGATAACTTTTCCATAATTTCGCCAAGATTCTGCAATGAAACTTTTGAGTTTATAACTGTACTAAGTATACATTCAACCCCAACCCCAAATGAAGCAGAAAAACCGGTCGATGAAGGCCTCTTTAAGAAATTCTGGAGATTTTAACTTGATTTTATTGATTGTTTTTGTAAAAAAATAAAATTTGACATTTTAAAAAACTCTTCTATCCAAGCCGTTGCTTATTGCGCAAACGACGGATCACTTTGCTATAACAGTAGTATTGATAATACCAACACCAGTCTCATCATTGATTCTTCTTGCCAAAAATTAACTTACCATTCTTTGAATTATTCACAAATTTCACAAATAAAATTACCAAATTCTATTGTTCAAATAGATGATGATGCTTTTTATTATATTCCTCTTCATGATATTTATATTCCTGCCTCAACTACCTATATATCAACTGGAAATCCATTCAATTTTGCAGATAAGCTGCAAAATATTGAAGTAGATTCTCAAAATCCTAGTTATACATCAGTTGATGGAATCCTTTACACCAAAAACCTTGATTCTTTGATTCATGTACCACGGCATAATGGTTTGAAAGTCTATGTTGCTCCTAGGACCCTTAATAAGCTACAATTTCATTCATTTTATTATCATGAATCAATAGAAACAATAATTTTTCAAAATTCACTTGATATTGAAGATAGAGTTTTTGAAAATGCCTCAAGTTTGGAATCAATGCTAATTCCTCGTGGAAGATTTGTCAAGAGTTTTGGAGAATATGTATTTTACAACACAAATTTTAATCCGGACAAAATTACTACTTATTCTGACTTATATAAGAGTTGTAGAGTCGCATCATTTGCACCATGTACTATAGCTTATCTTCTTTTTTCTTTTGTTTTTATTTCCATGTAAAAAATGTATAATTATAAAGAAATGCCAAATTTGTTTTGATTGTGATGGGTGTATTTATTTCAATCTTTCCTCTATTCGTAGATAGTATCATATTGCCCTATGAGAATATTTTTTATCCTGTTATTAGTTACCCTCAGTTCTGTCCTAAGGAAAATTTAAAATCGAGCCACAACCATATCTCTCAAAAAGGTGTATATTCTAATGATATAACAAATGCACGAAAAATTCAAAACAAAAACAATATTTATTAAACAAGTTGAAAAGTATTACCAAAAAGTTGTACCAGATCTAGTCCTGTACGACTTTTTCACTTCAGGAATGAAACTCTTATAAGAAATTCTAATAAGCTGCTTCTTCCCGATTGTTGATGGGAAAGTTTTTGGCGAATATGACTGTGTTGCCGCGGATTTCTTTGTTGCCATCATTTCTAGAGGAATACCCTCCATGAATTTTGTGGACATGATTGCCTTAAACTGTGTTCTCATCAGAGGATTTTTAATCAGACCGCAGTAGATGAAGTTCTTTGCATGATCGGAAATGTCATCATCGATATCGAATTGGTCGTTGAGGATTGATTGCACAGTTTCTTCAGCATTTTCCTTTTGGAATGGAATTTTTCCTGTTAAACAGTAGCTTAGAATACAACTTATACTCCAAGAGTCTGAACTACTGAAAACACCTTTTGATGTAAGTATTTCTGGTGGGTTAAATGCTGTATTTGACTGTAATAAAAGTGAATTATTCATTGGCTCGTAGAATTAAATAAAATAATTGACAAGGTGGCCTTTTTCATCAACAAAAATTGAATCGGGACTGAATGCACAATACTCCAATCCCAACGTTGATTTAAGATATTGAGCTATTGTAAAGAGTTTCTTAACTAATTCTTGTCCAAGTTTTTCTTCTAATATACCATTCTTATCTATATATTCCCTTAAACTGATTCCCTTAGGTTCGGTCATGATAATGTGAAATTCTTTTGGAAGGTCAATTAGCTCAATAAACTTGCTTATTAAAGGGTGACATGAGTTCTTTAGCAAAGTAATTTCATTGGCCATTTTAGACTTGTTTTCATGCTTGACAAGATCAATTTTTGGGATTGTTCTAACAATTACGATATTGTTTGTAACTTTGTTAATTGCTTTCCAGCATCTGTTATATATACCGCATTTGAATTCGGAAAGAAATGTATAATTACCAGCTTCAGGTACGCGAGTAACGTAATTCATTTATTTGAATGATTTGAAATGGTATTCAATAAATTGAAAAGTATGCAAGTGAATATGTTTGAAATGTAAATGATACTAAAAAAGTATAATTTTAAAAATTTATAGTTATCGTCCAACGTTATTATAGTTATAGAAAAATGAAGTCATAAGCAAATAGAATTGATATGATTTTTTTAACCTGTAAATCAAAATTAAATTGTTAAGAGCGGATAAAACTTGAACATTATGGCATATAAATATACATGGCACGGCGGGCGCAAAAAGTGACAAAATAGAATACCTATGGTGGCAAGACAAAGGAAACATTTTTGTAAGGCAAACATTATATCAAATACCTTTACTTTGTAATAAGAAATATAATTACCACGAAATTACAAATAAATATTGTTTAATATAATTAACAGCAAAATTGTTTTTTATTATTTCCCTTAAGACCTTACTTATTAAGTATACGTATAACAAGCTTGTACTGCATGTATTAGTTAATAGAACAAAAGAAAATGAGCTCAAATGAAAAAAAATTTCATGCTATTTTGGAAATATGCATATTCGAAGTATGAGAGTTGTAAACACTGAGAATTTTAAGCTTTGGTTGATGATAGTCTTTAATTTTTCTTGAAGTAGTAAATTATTTGATATGAAAATTTAATGGCCAGCATAATCAATCGTGTGTTTCGTTTCTTGATTGAGAAACGATGATTGTGTGCTAATGAATTATTGCGTCTGACAGGTTATGATTATGGATACCTGAAATTAAGCTTTTATGGGAAACATCACCGAGCGCCATTTGGCGCCCCTAATGCTGTTTCTATCGGTATGATTAAGGAGCTTTCTTATGCACTTTCATCACTTGAACTTGAACGCTACAAGATATATGCCCCCCTCCCAATGGGAGGTGGGAGCAAAAATTGAAATGTTTACATTGATTTTTGAATACTTTACAAGCACCCCTCCCAGTGGGCGCGGGCGCAAGTGATCGGGTCAAAAAAAATCATAAAAATATTCAAAATTGCGATTTTAATAGATGTTTAAGAAGTAAATTTATTAATAACGATATTTCATAGTACAAAATGTGTTCAATCTCTTCGTAAATCATTCAAAAAAATCAAAAGAATTTCCAAAATTCAATTTTTTTAGTAAAATTTATATCTTTTTCTATCGTCTCCTCCCCACCAGTGGGAGCCACCGGAGGCGCGGGCGGCGCCGCAGGCGCCAAAAAAGTAGCGCCCATCGTGCCATGTATACATATAAATCATCAAAGATTCAAAATATTAAATCGATGATATAAATAAACACGTTACAATGTAATTGAAATTTTGAATTTTTTGTGAACAAAGTTTTGAGGTCACTGTATTTTGAGAGCTGCTTCAATAATATAAAGTGGGAAAATAAAAGAGAATATAACATATTTAGAATATTATAATTATAAATTTTGAAAACATTCCAAACTTTTTTTGAAAATCTTATAAATATTATTATATACACACAACTTATAATATTTCACGATAAGAAATGATTTCTCAAAAGTTGTCGGGCCATTTATCTTGAATTTTTTCAGTATACTGCACGTTTGTGACTGATTTAATCAAAATAAATATTTGTCTTTAATTACAATAGTATCATGCATTATTCTCTTTGAACTTTTCTTATTCTCATACAATTTTATTTTTGGTCTTTTAAATTCTTAATTACTATCTGATTATATACAAGTTCTCATAAAAAAATTTTACAACAAAAATTGATAGAATTTTTCTTCGGTCATATCACGATATTTTTCTTTATCCTTTAAAAGCCTTTTCCAAACTGTTCAAAAATATTAACTTTTTGAGTTATTTTTCTGATACTTTTTTCAATTTTTCATTTCGAATTCAACGTTCATAAAAGATTATATATTCTAAACGCCCCCATCTGGGCACACATTTGTTACCCATATTTACAATATGGTCATTATCAAAATGCAACTCTCGAATAACATATTCAAATAATACTCTTTATTTTGAGTTTAAATTCTAATACTAAGCTATTTCAAGAGAATTCCATATCAAAATATCGATTTCAATCAACAAAGAATAATTGAATCGTTGAACAAAGATTTATGAAACAATCTAATAACTAATGCGAATTCATGAAGTGAAGAATCAAATGCGTCCTTGTTACTATATAATACTGTTAAGAAATTTATAAATATTTAAATTAAGTAACTTACACAGCTATATTGAACTTTGAGTTACCCTTTAATAAAAGATCATATGTCAATTCATTGAGAATTCTTCTGTTATTATGTTTTCAATTTTAAACTCCAAAACCTCAATGGCTACCAAACAAACATTAAATGTGCTTAAATCAAAGAATAGAACAAACAAAAAAGATTTATAAGAAATTTATTTCTTTGATTTTAAATACCCTTAAATTTTTGTTATTGGACAAAAAAGTGACACCAAATCACACTTGTTTGTTGGATCTTACCATTCCAGATAAATATAGCAACTTGATTTTATGAAATTAGATAGATATATGTGTACTTTTATCCCGTGTTGTTTTCTCGAAAACCTAATATCCTATGGGGATGCTGATTTTGAGCTTGTGTAAAAGTCAAGTGTCAATTATATGGCAATATTCTACCATATGTGGTGATGATATTTCAATATGTGTCTTTGTTAAAATTAAAAGTTTGAGATGAAATCAGCCTTATTTTATTTTGATGTGGTATTATTTTTTGTTCTCTATGATGCATTATAATAACATATTAGGAATAAATGCCAACTATTGATTTTCTTGAGAGTTTGGCACAAATCACGTCAAAAGATTATTGATGTCTGGCACGATCATGAGTTGTGCTTTTTTTGGCTTGTCGGGGTATTTGCCTAATGGTTAGAACAGAATGGCTATGTGTTGTCGATAATCATAAATAATTTATTTGGCGCTATATTGTTTATCTAATTTGCAATTATATATTCAGGGGCTAAGACGGTTTATAGGAATAATGCACATAATGAGAAGGCTAGAAGTCGTGATTTTTTGGCGTATTACAAAAAAATCCTATAAAGAATCATATTTGAGCCATATTTTTAAATGCAATGATATCGTTATGGAATTTATATCCAGAATATATAAAGTAATATGAAATTGAGACTGAATAAAAAAAATATAAAAAAAATTAAAGGAAATTAAGTAAAAATATGTTGGACAAAAAAAAAGGTAGTGGGGCTTCCAGGCACTTCGTGCCCTCTAGCCCCGAAGATGTTTAGTATAAATGAAGTTTTTATTCGGAAAATTGTTAGTCTTCTGGTGTGAATTCGGAGGACTCTTCTTCTTCCTCCATTGCTTCTGGGAAGAAGCCTTCTTCTGGGTCGAAAACATTATATAATGTTTCACTTTTCACAAATTATATATGTTTTCATGTTTTTGTCACTTTTTTGTCACTTTTCGGGGGTAAAAACATTTTTATTATTATATATAAATGATTTTACAAAACCACCGTTACCGTTCTTTGGAATAAAGAGTAGATGTAAAGATATTATATTGAGAGAACTTAAGAAACTACCGAATGGTCTAACATTTGTAGATTTGTTCGGTGGAAGTTTCTATATATCCCATTTATGTCATATAATATTCCCAGACTCAAAGATTATATGCAATGACTTCGACAACTATATGGACCGTCTCAAACATATTCCAGACACTAACAAAATATTGAAAGAGTTAAAAGAAAAGATTCAGATAGGTAAGATGGAACGTATACCATTAGATAAGAAAAATATTGTGAGAGAGGTTTTGAAAAAAGCAGAATATATAGACTGGGATAGTATATCTGCTAGACTATTATATAGTGGTGCTATAAGAGTTCATGACATTGAAACACTTATGTCAAAAGTTTTATATCTTAACTATACAAATGTTTTCAAACAGAACATAGAAAAATATATTGAGGGTATAGAGTTTGTGAGATGTCATTGGACAGAGTTGTATGAAAAATATAAAGACAAGGAAAATGTTTTCTTTATAGTGGACCCGCCGTTCTTTAACACATGGGATTTTCAATACCAAGTAGACTGGACTTTGAGAGACTCTTTAGAAACTTTAGACGTTTTACATAACCATCCATGCTTTTACTTTACATCCGATAAAAGTGGTTTGGAAACCGTTATGAGATGGTTAGAGGACATACATGACTATGAGTTTAGATATGACAAGATAGAATATGAGAGAGGTCCTATAAACCGGAGAAAGTGTCACAATAAAGAAATTTTATTAGTAAGTAAATGTGGTTTGAAATAGGACTACTTGTTTTAGGTTTTTCATTGTGTCATTTATTTCTTTGACGTGGCAGAAAAGTACAGAGAATATGAAGATGAACCAATGCCTGCAAATGTTCAGTATATGTACTCGTAAGAGATATTTTTATCTAATATTAAATGGACGCACAGAACTTAGCGAATGCACAGAAACCCGGACAACCAAACCCAGAGAATATTCCAAATGAAGTTAGAATACAAACTGCAATGGCAAACTATGGTCAAGTGCCAACAGATGTACAAATGCAAACTGCCATGTCAAATGACGCTGCGTTAGGTTTGCCACCATGGTATGCAAATATGAGATGGAAAGAGTTTTATACAAACCCTGAAGTGGGATATAAACAACTTTATGCAGATGACGCGAACACAGGAGTTGACCCAGAATATGTTTTCTACCAGAGGAGAAACAGAATGTATGAGCTCCAGTTAAAGAATGCTATGGAACTCAACAGAAACGTAAGAGACTAGGCGGACATTAGATTTTTACATATATAGTAAAATGGGTTTCTTCAGTAAGATAGGAAACTTCTTTCGAAATGTTGGAAGAGGTATATGGAATGGAATAAAACCGTAGGAAGAGGAATTTGGAACGGTGTCAAAAATATTGGTAAAAGGGTAGGTCAGTTTGTTGGTATTATACCTAAAGACCCTGAACCAGAAGAGCAAGCTCTGTTATACAACAGCCTGAACCTGCACCACAGT